TCAAACCACAATACTGGAAAAAAAGAGAAGGAAATCCTGCTATTTGAAACACCATGGATGGACCTGGGGATATTTTGCTCAACAAAATAAGCCAAACAGAAAGACAAATATTGTGCAATCTCGATTGTGTGTATAACCTAAAATAGTTAAATTCATTTCAGAGAGTGGTATTCTAATTTACAGGAGAGGAGGGAAATGAGAAGGAGATGATCATAGGTACAGAGATTCAGTCTTGCAGATCAGTTTTGGAGATCTGTTACACCTCTAGCTGTCAGAACTGTATTTACGGTGAAAACTTCTCAGGTGATCTTACATTATGTTCTCAACACACACATGCATACAGACACTCAAGTAATAGTAACAACAAGGGTGGGAGGAAACATTGAGCATGGCCTTTAACGTGGTAATGGTTACATGGTTGTCTACTTAGCCCCAAACTCATTGAGTTGTTTACATTAAATATGTACAAATTTTGACATATCAGTCATATCTGAATAAAGTTTTTTTTCCCCAGTACTAGGGTTTGAACTTGGGACCTTGAGCTTGGTACAAAATAAAATGTTTTTTAGAATGTGTGTTTATAAATGGGCCTTGGTTTTGATAGTCATATCTCTGTATCATCTTGACTGTTTTTCAGACCTTTATCAGCTCTTTTTTTTTTTTAAATTATTATTTTATTATTCATATGTGCATACAAGGCTTGGGTCATTTCTCCCCCCTGCCCCCACCCCCTCCCTTACCACCCACTCCACCCCCTCCCTCTCCCCCCCACCCCCTCAATACCCAGCAGAAACTATTTTGCCCTTATCTCTAATTTTGTTGTAGAGAGAGTATAAGCCATAATAGGAAGGAACAAGGGTTTTCTATCAGCTCTTTTTCATTACACAGAGTTCTTTTAATCTCATCTGAACTTTCAGTAAATGGATAGATTACACTGGATTACAATGAAAATTTGTCTGTATGTGTGTTTTTCTCAGTATGGAGATTGAACTCAGTCTCTTGCATGCTAGGCAAGAGTTCAGCCCTTTGATTTTGTATTTGAGACAGGGTGTTGCTTTCTTTGTTGTTTCTTTTATGGGCCTGGGGTTTGAACTCTGGGTTTCATGCTTGCAAAGCAGCCACTGTATGGCTTGAACCATGCCTCCATTCTGAGATAGGATCAGGCTGGCCTTGAACTCATGATCTTCTTTCCTATGCCTCCTGAGTGGCTAGGATCACAGGTATGTGCCATTATGGCTGGCCTAAGTTTATTTTATTTTATTTATTTATTGGGGGAAGTGGTGGGGATTGAACCCAAGACCTTGAGTATCCTATGCAAGCATTCAACCACTGAGTTGTACTTCCAGCTCATGAAAAGGTATTTTGAGTGCTTTATTTGTTTCAGACTGTTTCACACATGATAGTATCTGACAGTAAGTGCATGTGGTTTTATCATCCATTTCAATGATTCTGGTGGTTGGGCTTTTTCAGGTTAGTTTTTTCTCTTTTGAAAAACACTGACCCCATCATTTTTGCATACATCTCAAAGTATAAGTACTGCTCAATAAATTCTCTGGATACTGGAGAAAAATCACTGGGCTGTAAACCATAGTCATGTTTAAAAAGGGGATAGAGTGGCTCAAGTGATAGAATAACTGCCTAGTAAGCCTGAGGCCCTGAGTTCAAACCCCACTGATACAAAAAAAAAAAAAAGTATCTGCTGACCTTCTTCCACTTGTGGGTAACTATTTCCTTACTTTTAGTGGTCACCAATACTGGAGAGCATCTAATTGCCTGATTTTGGTTCTTTTCATTTATAAGAAATGGGATCTGCCTTACATTTCACTGGGCTATTTCCTCACTATCAAAGATATAGACCTTTTTTACATATATGCTGTATCATTCTTAGTTAAATATATTTTGGGTATTTTCCTATTTTTAAATTAAAAAATCAATTAAAACAATTTTTTTTGAGATGGTGGCTGTTGTGTTGCCAAGACTGACCTCAAACTCCTGGGCTCAAGCAGTCCTTTTGCTCAGTCTCCTAAGTAGTTGAAGTCACAGGCTTATGCCACAACACCAGGCTTTATGTGTTTATTTTTATTTTTTACACTAATCTTGTATTATAACATACTGTGGATAATTTTCTTCTTAGTTTGCTGTTTTTCTTTTAACTTTCTTCATTTTTATGTATTTGAATGTTTCAGTCTCTTCAGTTATGGCTCCCTGTTCTTTTTTGTGTCAAGAGAAAATTGGCCTGGGAATGTAGCTCAGTGGTAAAGCATGTTCTCAGCATGTGTGAGGCCCTGAGTTTGCCTAAGACTTCTAAAATTGTTTTAGTTATATCTTTCACATTTAAATCTACATGAAATTGATTATCGTCTATGGAAATAGGTGTGAAATAATGCAGTTTTCCAATTAGAGAACAATTTCTCCCTTCCCCACGTATTAACGTGTTATTTATAGCTTCTGCTTCACTCTACATTCTTTGCTCTGCCATTAATCAATACATGTAAATGCCAGCCCTTTGAAGACATTTTCCTCCCTTGACTTGCTTATTTCTCTGCTCGTATCATCCTGTTCAGAATATTGTAGTTAGAAAATCCTTCATGTATTTTAGATAAGCTGCCACTTTATTCTTCAATACTTTATTGTTATTCCTATGAGATTTAGAGAAGTAGTTTTTTCTTCTAAAATGTTTGGGAGCTGTGCGTTGGTGGCTCACACCTGTAATCACAAGAGAATCAAAGTATGATGCCAGTCCCAGCAAATAGTTCTGTGAGACCCGCATTTCTAAAATAACAGAGCAAAATGGACTGGAGATGTTGCTCAAGAGGTAGAATGCCTGCTATGCAAGCATAAGCAAGCCTTGAGTTCAACATCTTCCCCCTGCCAAAAAAAGAACGTCTGTTTGGGAATTTATTAAATTTTATGAAGATGTAGTTTTGGGGCTAGGAATGTAACTCAGTGGAATAGCACGTGCTTAGTATGTGTGAGGTCTTGGTTTCAATCCCTAGTGCTACACATACACACACACACACACACACACACACACACACACACAAAAGATATCATTTGGGAGAGGAGATGTCATGGTGACATTGAGTTCTAAGAATGGTTCCATCTTTCTATTTATTTTATTCTCCTTTAACATTACCCAATAATATTTTTTTCCATTAGAATTGTTAGGTATCTCTCTTTAGTCTTAGTAATTATATGTGGTCTGGAGCAAGGCAGGTGCCAGCTTCCAAATGTCTTCTTGTGTAGTTACATAAAATGGGATAATTTCCTCAAGCAGTAAGTTGTGACATGTATGAAATACCATTTACCAGGAAGCTCATTAAGACTCAGTGTTCAGAGTGCTTCCTGGGGGCTGGTCAAGTTGCACCCTCTGCCTAGCATGTAAAATGATCCAATCAGAAGGAAGACAGGAGCTTAGTACATATCAGATTGGTTGCATAAACAGTTTAGGGGGCCTGCCCACCTTGGGCTGGAGGGTTGGCTCAAGTGGCAGAATACTTGCCTAGCAGTTGCAAAAACCTGAGTTCAGACCCCAGTACCAGCTGGTGGAGTGGCACCTGCCTACCAAGTGTGAGGCCCTCAGTTCAAATCGCAGTACCATCAAAAAAAAGGAAAAGAAAAACTTTAGGTACAATGAACCACTATTGTACAACTCTTTTTTGAGGTGCTAGAAATGAAACAATGGAACCCAGGGTCTTACACATGCTAGGCAAGCATTCTGCCACTGAGCTACACCCCCCAGTCCTTACAGCCGCATATCCTTTTTAGTTTTTGCTTAGATGATGCTAGTTCTTCCTCAGCCATTTTTAGCACTTAAGTTGATGAGGTCTCTCTGAAACTATGACTTCACACATATCAGGGAGGGACAAACTTTGTGAGCTGGTACTGCTAAAGATAAGAAAACTCAGGACTACTAATGTTAACTTTCTTCTGAGCACCGGGTAGTAGGACGTTGAGCCAATGCTACAAATCCATTGTACAACAAGGAATTAGGGCTGTGACCTGCACAGGTCATTTTATTCCCTGGACGCACTCACAAGACGAGTGTGGATATTCTGCTGTTACTTTAACAAATAGTTCGACTTTCATCAGAACTGCTGTTTGGGAACTTTTTCTCTGTCCCCTGCATTTGGATGTCAGTAGGTTAATGATCTATTTTGGAGGTCAGCATTTAGAGGAATTAAGTGGCTGGGGAATTCCTGTGCTCACTTGGGCTTTTGTGCACCTCTTGGGACCTGGAAGTGAGAGACATAGGAGATCAGTCTATAGTAGCCAGTTGGGATTAGAGAAAGGAAATTTATGTTCTGTGGAGGACAGCACTGCTGAATTAGTACAGTACTTTAGTGTGTGTGTGTGCATTAAAACCTCATGTATGTCATGGAGTACTCTGTGATAATGGTACATAATAAGGCAAGAAATGAAATTTTTTTCTCACAAGGAATTGCTGGGTTTTTTTGGCAGTGCAGGGATTTGAACTCCTGGCCTCACACTTGCTATGTAGATGCTCACCTGCTTGAGCCAGTCCACCAGCCCTTTTTTGTGTTGAATATTTTTGAGATAGGATCTTGAGAACTATTTGCCTGGGCTGACTTCGAACCACAGTCCTCCTAACCTCTGCCTCCTGAGTACTTAGGATTTACAGGTGTGAGCCACCAGCACCCAGTAGGAATTGCTGGTTTTAAATTTGTAATGTTTGTGCTCGCTTTGGCAGCACATACACTAAAATTGGAACAATACAGAGAAGATTAGCATGGCCCTGTACAGGGTGACATGCAAATTTGTGAAGCATTCCATGTAAAGAAATAAAATAAAATGGAAAAACTTATCTAATCTACATAGAATTTCTCCAAGATACTGTGTATCCTGTCATTGGAGAATAATAGGACTTGAAGTGATTGTAGTAAAAATGTAGAAATTCCATGTATTCATGGTGGTATTAAATTTATGAGCAAGTGGATATGAACAAGTTCAGAGTTCTGATAACCACATTATAGAATAAATGTTTTGAGGTCACAGAATCATGAGCACTCCATAGGGAACTGAGTGAATATCTCCAGTGCTATCAGTCTTGCCATCCTCCTTTACACATACATATGTGGAATGTTTCAGGACTCAGTGGCCTTTGAGGATGTGGCTGTGAACTTCACTCAGGAGGAGTGGGCTTTGCTAGATCCTTTCCAGAAGAAACTATACAGAGATGTGATGCAGGAGACCTTCACTAACTTGGCTTCCATAGGTAAGAATAAAATTGTTCCCATACTTAGTCAATTAGAGAACCAATATTTCTTATTCATCAGTGAAGTTCCAAGATTTAGAATATGGAAAGGGAATGTTTTGGTAAGTAAACATGGCAAAGTATCAGCTCATCCTGGACCTAGAATCTAAAATTTTTTTCTATAATTTCTAATAATTTTTCATTATCATATTATTGTACTGGGGTACATTGTGACATTTAAAAAAGTTCTTACAGTATATCATAGTTGAATTCACCCCCTCCATCATTCTATAATTTCTAGTAATTTATAATGATTTGTCTGGATCTGTATTTTAGGGGAAAACTGGGAAGACCAGAACATTGAAGATCGGTACAAAACCCAGGGGAGAAATGTAAGGTGAGTTGTATGCCTCACAAAAGAAATTAATGTCCTATGAGAGAATCTTAGTGTGTTAAAAAAAATACAGTAAACAGCTGAAGGTGTGGCTTAAGCAGTAGAGTACCTTCCTCATAAGCTCAAGGTCCTGAGTTCAAACCCTAATACCTCAAAAAAAAAAAAAGACAAAAAGAAGCCACATCATGAATATCACTGTTTCAGTAGTAGCTATGGTTCAACACTCTTACAGAGCATTCATTACATATGTGCTTCCTGAAAAAGTAAAAGTGTAATTCTAACTGCTAAAGATTGTGAAATTTTTAATAATCATTAATAATTATAAAACTGTTTATAAAACAGCCATAATAATGTGATTCTCATTTTTTTCAGAGGTCATATGGGAGAAAAACTCTGTGAAAGAAAAGATGGTCAGTGTCAGGAAACCTTCATCCAGGTTCCAGATCTCAAATGGAACAAGAAAACTCTTCCTAGAGTAAAACCTTACGAATGCAATGTGTGTGGGAGAGTCTACATGTGTCACTCATCTCTTAAAAGGCACATGAAGGCTCATACTGAACCATATGCATGCCACAAATATGGAGAGAAGTCTTATGAATGTAAGGAATGTGGGAAAACATTCAACTTTAGAAGTTCATTTCGAATACATGAGAGGACTCACACCGGAGAAAAGCCCTATAAATGTAAGCAATGTGGGAAAGCTTTCAGTTGGCCTAGTTCTTTTCAAATACATGAAAGAACTCATACTGGAGAGAAGCCCTATGAATGTAAGGAGTGTGGCAAAGCCTTCATTTATCACACAACCTTTCGAGGACACATGAGAATGCACACAGGAGAGAAACCGTATAAATGTAAAGAATGTGGGAAAACTTTCAGTCATCCCAGTTCATTTCGAAACCATGAAAGAACTCACTCTGGAGAGAAGCCCTATGAATGTAAGCAATGTGGAAAAGCTTTTAGATATTACCAAACTTTTCAAATACATGAAAGGACTCACACAGGAGAAAAGCCCTATCAGTGTAAGCAGTGTGGGAAAGCCCTCAGTTGTCCCACATCCTTTCGAAGTCATGAAAGGATTCACACTGGAGAAAAACCCTATAAATGTAGAAAATGTGGCAAAGCCTTCAGCTTTCCCAGTTCCTTTCGAAAACATGAAAGAATTCATACTGGAGAGAAACCTTATGATTGCAAGGAGTGTGGAAAGGCCTTCATTTCTCTTCCAAGCTATCGGAGACACATGATAATGCACACTGGAAATGGGCCTTATAAATGTAAGGAATGTGGGAAAGCTTTTGATTGTCCCAGTTCATTTCAAATTCATGAGAGGACACACACTGGTGAGAAGCCCTACGAATGTAAGCAGTGTGGGAAAGCCTTCAGTTGCTCCAGTTCCTTCCGAATGCATGAAAGGACTCACACAGGAGAAAAACCCCATGAATGTAAACAATGTGGGAAGGCCTTCAGTTGTTCGAGTTCTGTTCGAATACATGAAAGAACTCACACTGGAGAGAAGCCCTATGAGTGTAAGCAGTGTGGGAAGGCCTTCAGTTGTTCCAGTTCCTTTCGAATGCATGAACGAATTCACACTGGAGAGAAGCCCTATGAATGTAAACAGTGTGGGAAAGCCTTCAGTTTTTCCAGTTCATTTCGAATGCATGAAAGGACTCACACCGGAGAGAAGCCCTATGAATGTAAACAGTGTGGGAAAGCCTTCAGTTGTTCCAGTTCCTTCCGAATGCATGAAAGGACTCACACTGGAGAGAAACCCTACGAATGTAAGCAATGTGGCAAGGCCTTTAGTTGTTCTAGTTCCATTCGAATACATGAAAGGACACATACTGGGGAAAAACCCTATGAATGTAAGCAATGTGGCAAGGCCTTCAGTTGTTCCAGTTCTGTTCGAATGCATGAAAGGACTCACACTGGAGAGAAGCCCTATGAATGTCAGCAATGTCATAAAGCCTTCAGTTGCTCCCGTTCCTTCCGGATTCATGAAAGAACTCACACTGGAGAAAAACCCTATGAATGTCAACAATGTGGTAAAGCCTTCAAGTGTTCCCGTTCCTTTCGGGTACATGGAAGAACTCATAATGGACAGTAACCCTTCTAATGCAAACAACATGGTAAAGCTTTCAGTTGTCCCATTGCCCTTTGAGGATATGGACTTACTGGGAGAAGCCCTGTGAATATAACATGCGGAAAAATGTTTAGTTCTCCTTTTGTGAAAACCAGAAAAAGTTCATACTAGATAGAAACCCTCTGATCATAAGCAATATGGTCACTCTCGTGACACTGAAGCAACTTCAGTGGTCACACAACTTTTTGAGGATACGTAAGAATACACAAAAGAAAAATTCTGTACATGTAAAGAAAGTTGTCCCAGTTTATTTGGAAACAAACTTACTGGGTAGAGCAACTTACTGAAAGCAAGCATTGTGGGAAAGCCTTTCATTGCCTTCATCTTCACAAAACATGTGAGAGGTACATTGATAAAAACCCTATAAAAGTGAAAAGTAGTAGGAAGTTTTCAATTTTGTCAAATACTCATGATATTTACTCCCTCTCATGTGAAACTTCAAACTCATGTGAAGACTGCCACTGCAGAGAGATCCTGCACATGTAGATAATGTGGGGAAGCCTCATGAAAACGAATCCACATTTATTGTTCCAGAAAATTTGCATTATGAAAGACATGTTATAAAACTTATAAACATACTGTGTTTATCAGTTACTCATTTGTAAAATGAGTGGACTATGGATTTCTATTTATTATGTTTGCAGATGAGCAGTGACGTGAGATGATTCTGTAAGCCCTTGCTAAGAAGTAGTATATAATTTTAATAGGTAGTGTTTTTATTAAATCAGTTTCTACAATTTTCTTTTCTTTTTTGAAGTCTGTTGTATTCATGGGTAAAGCAAAGTGTATAATATGAAAGTTCTTAGTACTTTTATACGTTTTCTAAATTGTTAAGGAGCCTTTGAAAAATGACAATTTGGTAATTGTTGAGATTTTTCTTCCTGGCCTTGTGTAGCGGGTACTGGGTCTTCCTTACTCAATACATACTTTCAGTCATTCAGACTGAAAGAAGCTTCTTTAGTGGCAGGGAGCAGAGGAGCATTATTTGTTTCTGAGCTAGTAATTTGTTGTCCTAAAGTTGTGAGTGTGCCAAGTTTATCTTATGGAATATTCTCATTTGAATTATTATTATTTTGATGTCTGTCCCTTGTTAGCATTCTTTCTGACTGGGATTTGGATAATAGACTTTGCATTAAGAAGAGAGACCTATCAGCCAGAGACTGGTGGCTCACAGCTGTAATCCTAGGTACATGGATGGCTGAGATTGGGAGGATTGTAGTTCAAGACTAGCCTGGACAAATAGTTCTCAAGAACCCATCTCAAAAATAACCAGAGCAAAATGGACTGGAGTTGTGGCTCAAACCACAGAAGAGAGCATAATATAATCTATAGTTGGAAATGGTTTTCTGGGATTCTGTTAGGCTAGCATGGATAACATTATTACCTATGTCTTCTAAAATCCAGCCCTTATGGTTCTTGTCAGAATTCACTAATAGTTGGCTTACGTGTGATATATCAGGCAGAAGCGAAGGAGGGTGTTTGTTAGCCTTTATAGCCACCTTTTGTGGAGATAGATGGCTGCATAGGGGCTTCAGGGACACCACGTCTACCTCATTTTCCTGATGCTTTTCCTGCCAACCAACAGTACAGTCATAGGGCTGGGGATGTAGTGCAGTGACAGAGTTCTTGCCTAGTATGAGAGAGGCCCTGGGTTTGATTCCCCATTACTGCAGAAGAAAAAAAAAGGTAATCAGTCATGCACTATATAACATTTTGGTCATTTTTTTCTTCCCCCATTTTTAATTATTTGGCAGTGCTGGGGTTTGAAATCAGGGCCTCATGCTTCCTAGGCAGGCACCCTACCACTTGTGCCACACCTGCAACCCATACATTTTGGTTTCTTAACAGTCTGCATATATGATAGTGGTCTCATAAAATTATAATGGACCTTTTGCTTACTGATGTCATAGCCATCATGATGTAGTGCAATGTGTTCATGGTGATGCTGGTATGGACAAATCTGTGCTGCCAGTTGCATAAAAATATATCACATGCAATTAGGCATCTTAGTACTTGATAGAAAAGACAAACCGTCTCCTATGTATTTACTGTGCTGTAGTTTTTTTTTTAAATCATTACTTTAGAATGCATTGCTTCTATTTATTAAAAAAAGTTAACTTGGAAACAGCCTCAGGCATTTCCTTCAGGGGGTAGTCCAGAAGAAGTGACAGCTCCATGCTAATTTACTGCTTCTGAAGACTGTCCAGTGAGTCAAGAGGTGAAAGTGGAAGCCAATGATGTGATCTTGGTCCTGTGTAGGCCTAGGCTAATGTGTTTCTGACCTAGTTATTAACCAAAAGGAGTTACAAATTAAAATAAAGATAAGTAAAAATTCATTTAAGAATATAGAGAAAATACTTTTGTATAGCTGCACAATGTTTGTGAACTGTGATCCTAACAAGGTTTCAGGGAGGTGCATCTTGCATAGGGTGTAAAAACTCAGTGGATGTATTTACGGACCACAGGAGGATCTTGCATTTGTGTTTAAGTGTTACTACAAAAGAGCCAAAAAGTTTTTTTTTTTTTTTAAATGTAGTGGGCTGGAGGTGCAGCTCAGTGATAGAACACTTGCCTACATGCATAGGCTCCATCTTCAGCATCACAAAGTTATTTTTAAAAAAGCTTGTATGTAAAAATGGCCCAGTAAGCTAAGGTTAATTTATTGTTGAAGAAAGAAAATGATTTTTTTTGTAAATGTAGTATAGTGTACAATGTTTGTAAAGTCTGCAGTAGCGTGTAGATACGTCCTAGGCCTTCATCTACATCAGTCCTCACGACGCACCCAAAGCAACTGCAAGTTCCATCCAGGTGAGTGCCCTGTAGAAACATACCATTTTTGGAAGTCTTTCTGCAATATTTTTATCTTTTTTCTGCTCACATGTTTAGATACACATACCCCATTGTGCTATAATTGCCTACAGAATTTGGGACAGTGACATGATGTATGAGTTTAGTGCTTAGAAGCAATATGCTATGCCACATGGTCTCGGTGTACAGTAGGCTGTGCCGTCTAGGTTTGTGTGAGCACATTCTACGATGCCTGCATGAAGACAGAAATGCGTAATGATGCATTTCTCAGAACATACCCCGACATTAAGCAGCACACAGCTGTGTTCTCAGAGCCATCGCTGGCTGCTTTACTGCCATGTTTCCAAAGATGTAGCGTTCCACAGAACCTCCACAAAGCCCGCTCCATCATCTGTTGCAGTTTGGGTTTCCTGCAAACTCTAATGTGTCCGTCAGACAATGAATTCAGAATGTTCCCTGATGTACTGACTCACCCTGTCTCCAGATTAAATTCATCTAAGGTCTCACTTTATGTGGTAAATACCTTGTTTTAATACCCCCAGCAACTATGTGTTTGATTCTACTGTGACAGCTCCAGTGGTGCAGTTGTAAAGGACTACAGGGGCGTTTTTTCCTCTCCTGCATTGTTCAGGGAATGCACTGACCCAGTTGGCTGTGTAAGAAGGAGCCCTTTCCTCAAATCAAGCAGACTCTGGGTGTTTCCTGTTACTGTTTTAACGTAGTCTCTCAGTATATTTTGGATTAGGTTTCATTGTATGTGACCTAAGAACTGTCTGCATGTTTTTGTCAAAATCTGTAGATGTTTCCTGGAAATGTTTTGTTTTCAAATAATTTGTATACTATCAATTTGGTATACTATCAAATATTGTTTCTCAGTTCCTGAAGGATATATTAAAATACTCCATTGCAATTATGGATTTTCAGATTGTAAATTTTTTTTTCCTGCATCACTGGGGTTTGAACTCAGGGCCTCACATTTGTTAAGCAGGTGCACTATCATTTGAGCCATGCCCCAACTGTTCTGTTTGTTTGCTTCAGTTAGTATTCAGGTTGGGTGCTGTGTTTTTGCCTGGGGCTGGCTTCAGACCATGTCTTACTTAAGTCCTCCTGCATAGATGGGATGACAGGCATGGGCCACTACAGCCAGCTTATTTGTTGAGATGGGATCTTGTAAACTTTTTGCTTAAACTGACCTCCAACCTCAATCCTCCTGATCTCTGCCTTCTAAGTAACTGGGATTACAGGAATAATAAACCACAGGAAAGCTTCACCCCTGTCTCTCCTGGTCCCCCCACACTTACTTCCTACCTCAGATTTCACTGCTTTTCTTTTTTGGCAGTACTGGCATTGAACTCAGAGTCTTGTGCTCTGCTGCTCTGCTACAACTCTCAGTCATGCTCCCAGCCCTTTTGTTTTGCTTTGGTTTATTTTTCAGGTCTTGTGCTTTTTGTCTGGAGCGAGCCTTAGACCCCTAATCCTCCACTTCTACCTCCCAAGTAGCTGTAACCACAGGCATGCATTACATGCCCAGTTTGTTTCTGAGATAGGGTGTCCCTAACATTTTAGGTCTCAAACCACGATTCTCCTATTGCTGCCTTCTAAGTGTGTGGCCTCCTCAGATTAACTGTAAAATGTATTTTATCCACAGAGCTTCAAAGAAGATATTTCCAAAAAGATTTTTAAAAAAATTTCAGAAAAAAAGATGTCTATCCTTATATTTCATTTGTTAGTAATTCTCATTTTTCTTTTCTTTTCCCCCAGAATGTACATATATGGTAAGGTTCTGGGGTCTGTTCTTTGTTTTCAAGTGGAATTTCAAGGCTTAACCTTGAGAATGTTAGAGAGGAATGAGCTAGAGAAAATCTCTTTCATGTTGTCTGCAGAAAAATGAAGACATTTCCATAAACCAAGCATGATAGTTTAATTGCCAAAGGAAAAAAATTCACATTATTTCCTTTTCTGTGCAGGACAGAGTGTTTGTGACAGTGAGTAACTGCTCTTTCCTGTCTTCTGGTCTGAGACTCGAAGTAAATCATACAGAATAGGGCGTGGTAACAGCTAGAAGAGTTGATTGTGTACTAAATGGTTTATCATGGAAAAATAATGAGATGACATCTTAATTGTCGGAGAGACATAGGTACTTGTGCTTTTAGTTTGCACTATAAAATATAAGCAACTTAAGCCATGCACTGCTTCTCACTCCTATAATCCTAGCTACTCAGGAGGCTGAGATCAGGAGGATGGAGGTTCAAGGC